AACATAAAACTTCATACTGTTTTATCAAGAACAAAATCCTTTGCTATCCTGCTTCTCTCCCTCCCAGTGCATCCTCAAACTCCTTGCAGAGCAATAGTGACTTGCAGAGCCACTCTGCCAGTTCTCCTTGCTATGCTAGAGGCTGGGGGGAAAGCAAGGAGAAGATGTTCTTGACACTGAGCCTGTAGCAGTGCTTCCATGACAACAAATAAGATGTTACACATTGGAACTCTGGTGTGATAAACTAAGCCTAACCAGGACTTGAAGAAGATGGCTAGTTTTTACAGAACACTGTTCCTCAGAAATGCTCAGGTTAAACTACAGTTTCTTTGCATATCCCAATACACTGTGCAGTACCTGGCAGAAAGAGGAAGGTGAGAGTGGCAGAAATCTTCTTCCCTATCTGGGTTCCACTGCCAGACCATCTTTAGGATTTTACAGCAATGGTTTCCACAAGCTGAAGAATGGGACAAATGGCACCTCATGCAATCTGTCTGTTCACACCTGAAGACAATCCCCATTTCCAATTTACAGCATCCTATCCTGCCATTCAAAAATACAAGACCTTGTAATTTAAAGTAATTCAGCAGGTCCAATATTTGACCTCAGCACTATTCAGTCTGAGTATCAGTATCGGTATTCAGTATCCAAACCTCACTGAAAGTCAGGGGGATTCTGAGCATGGTGATAGACAGTATGATATAGAAACTAAAGTGCCAGCTGGCAGGTTAATACATTTTGCCAAACTGATTTAGCACCTACCAGTCTACTAGTGAACTTATTTGAAAGAAACTGCTCGCTCTTAGCTATTGAATCTTCCGTCCTAGATCGTATTGGACTGAACTCAACTACTTGTTCTGACAATAAGCTTTCTGGGGAGTAAGGAGTAAGGAACTGTGCCTGAGAGCATGCTCTAGTGGCTAAACCTCTACCTGATGGTCATGAGCTTTGGGCACTGTTTCTGACTATGTGACTTTTAGCATGCTGCTTTCTGGATTCCACCATCATATGTGTCATCTTTTGGGTAGGAAATACAAGTACTATTCCACTTTAGTGGTTGACGACAAGCTCCAATACCAGCTTCAGTCTGTACACACTCTTAAAAAGGTGGTTTTGCACAAGTTGTTGCATGTACCGAGATGACTTCCACCTGCATGACCCTGAAGGTTGGCCTGTGTTTGCCTAATATGTCCCACCAGCCCTTAAGATTTCATAATATATGCTCTTCTGAGTGAATGAATTAGCTCTGGACTCCTACAAGAGCAGATGGGTTGCAGGCAACCTTCCTTCTTTAAGTGACGATGTGGCATTTAACCACAGGTGTCCTACATCTGACAAGCCTGGTCAGGAACCTGTCAGACTTTAACCTGCATCTTCAGACAATACTGACAACTATTCTGAAGAGAAATACAGTGCACTCTCACTATATTAAATTTGTTCAGCTTTAGGCTGTACTGATGGTCAATACATTGTGCCCAGAACAATTTAGTTAGAGAAAGCCTATAAAAAGAACTAACAATTTTAGCAACTAATCTTCCTCTGCACTTTTTACACTAGGAAGTTTATGCATAAGTAAAAACCAAAAAAATCCTGATAACCTGGCCATAACTAATTAAATTAAACTTCATATTTTTCATAAGAAAAAAAAAAAACAAACAGGTAACAACTACAGTAGTTAGGATAAAAGCTTACTAGATGTGTTTTGACCATGCTGATCCTGACTCAGCAGGTCACTGGACAGAACTGAAGAGATGTTTAAAAACATGGGATTTTCACAACAGAATAACTGGAGCTTCTCATTCTCAGTGGGAAGGTCTACAGCTTTTATAATCACTGTGTATTCTAATACTGGTTGTCTGAAAATAATTAGGTCCATTAGCCATGTATCAGCATTTGCAGTTCTGATCTCTTGGTGCTAAACTATTCTAAAATCAGTTTTGCTATATCACCATTCAAAAAACCAGAGCTAATGAAGATGCTGGATAAAGAAGCACATTTCATAAATTATACTAACCTCAGGTAATCTGCAACATCTAAATAGACTTATAAAATGTTCTCCTTCTTTGCAACATACCCAGTTTTGGGTATCGATATTTTCACTTAGCTATGATATCACCTTTTACTTAGAATAGCATCTTTTATCCCAAAATGTGGTCACTCCACCTACCTGTAGGATGAAGCCAACTATACACAGTGAAGAAGAGAAACTATACAAAGCCACACAAAACATTATGAGAAGAAACTCAACCACAAGAGCAAGGAAAACAAAAATTCAGAAGAATCACATTATCTAGATTAGTATCTGGCTAGTAAATTTGGGTTAGTGTTCTGTTCTCATCCATGGACAGAAAAGGACCCTGCTTTTAAATTTCAGTGAACAGATGGTGAAATCCCACTTCCCGCTACTTTCATGCTGGGAGAGTAACTCAATACTGCATCAGCCAGGAGACCAAAACCTACAGAGCTGCAAGAATACACCACATGGAAACTGGTCTCTCCTTGGAGGTCTCCTAACCAGGACCCTTGCTATATTATTTAAAGAATATCACACACACTCAAATTTGAGGTAGTTTTGGAAATTTCAGGCAGAAGCTGACGCACTGTGCTTGATTAGACTAACACAAGATAATATGTATATTTTTATGCCTTTATACTTAACTACAATTGCATTTTAGTGTCCTCCATGATAGGGACAGATTATATTTTGTCACGATTACCAGTGTAACCATACAGAGAAAGCCGTAACAAAGTTATGTTGCAGAAGACATTAGTTAATAACCCACTAAATACTATTAAAAAAAGAAAAAAGGTCATTTCATTCAGGACTAATATCATCAGTATACAGACCTCCCAGATTTGCGGTGGTTTGCATCAGCTTCAAAAGAGCAATACAGAAAAGTGCACCAAAGTAGAAATCAAACCTGGAAAACTAGGCAAACCAAGATCATCTGCTCTGAGAACAGATAAAGCAAACATGTGAACACCAGTAATGTAATGCTGGAAAAAAGGAGCTTTATACATCTCTGAAAAGAATCACACACAATGGATTTTGGATACATCACAAAACAGGTATACAGGCTTACAGAGACTACTACGGGTTTTTAAGATCTTACATGTCTTAAGACCGGTCCTGAAAGGCTATGTGCTCTCTTCCATCCAGTAGCTTTAGGAGCTATTCATAGAATAGCACAAACTTACTTTTGTTGCAGTCTCATTGAAATAAAGAACAAATAAACCTGAAAAAAACAATTCTGGGAGAAAGAATAACTCTGTTTTAAACTGTGTAATTTCTTTTTTTAAAAGGAAACTTTTTGGAAATAAAATATTTAAACAAGAGTGGAAAGAATCCAAACAATAAAGATTGTGTTGTCATTGTGCTTCATTTTGTTAAGCAGGTGAAACATCAGACCCCTCCAGTTTTCATCTACTGCATATTTCAGTCGTAGAAAGTGTTACATCAGCATAGTCACCAGGTAAAGCTCCTGGTTTACTCTTAATGGACTTTCTTCAGACACTGGCACAGATGATGAGTGATTGTCCAACTCTGAAGCTATCAGAACTGAACGGATTTAGCAATGTCATAAACACCTCTCGAGGGAGTCACCTGGTGTTGAGAACTCACTTTACATGCCATGTTTCAAAATCAGGTTTAATGGATTTACATTAAATTCAAACCCACTTTAGAGCTATTATTTCTCCCTTTCAACCTTTTCAACCACTACTGCAACGTACTACAGCATATTTTATAATCACATGTTTGCAGGCCTGTGGTAAAGTAAACAAAACTTCAAAGGGTTATTATTTAAAGACTCTGTATTACGGCCATAGGCCTGACTGTTTTTCTTCCTCACCACCCCTTGGGTCCAAAGCACATAATCATCCAGTAATTGAACTGAAATGTCTAAATGGCTAGATCCCCTGAAGGACATAGGTAGTTAGCAGCAAAGAAAGTAAGGGACGTTTTAAAAAACCCTCATGGCATTTTCCTGCACTACTTAGAAACACGGTGTAAATGTAACTGACCCGGACCTGATGGGCTTTTGCAGAGAACACAATAGTGCATAGATATTTCTGGGCTTGTAACTAAAGATTAAATGTCGAACTGTGCTGTATTTGAAAGTGAAGATCTTATATTTAAATTACTTTCAGAAGAATTGAGAAGAAGGAACAGAAATATATACACGTACACAGTAGTATATATAACACAATAGTATCACTAATACCATGTGAAAGCAAACCCCTCTAGGTCCTCATATTTAATAGCCCCTCCAAAAAGTGTAATGGATAGCAGATCCCAGGTTTTCATACACTGTAACTGTCAAAGCACTCAGGAGATAGAGAAGTGAAGGCTCTGACAGCTCTCTTTTACATTCTAAATGACATCTGCATTCAACAGAACAGAAATAAAGATTAAGGGAAACACCTGATATGATAGCACTCAGCTTACCTCAAAATGCAATATTTAAAAAGTACAGAGAAACACAGGTCTGCCTCCTTGTACTGTAAGTAAAAACTGGTGTCAAAGCCTCAGAGGTCTTCACCACTGCCAGAAAGGCAAGCACCGCAGCATTCAACAGACTGCAGGGGCAGAAGCCACAGCCTCTGACTATGTAACTGTTGAAATCAAAAGGTGTTTTGTCGGAGAAGGAAGGGAGGAGACGGTCTTTGAACACACACAGAAAATGGCTACGGGTACAGTCATAGAGCATAGGGAAACTGACTTGGTTGAAACCTTTGCAGCCCCTTCTTGTACCTCAGTGAGGAGCAGAATGCCCCTCACTAATTGCCGGGGCCCCGCTGGTTCTGTACCTTTCGCAGCGCACACCTACTGCAAATCTCTTCCGAGAGGTTATCACTATTACGGCTTCGAACGAAACACGTCAGCATCCAGATCACGAGAGATGATTTCAAATAGATTTTTGCTGGTTGATTATATAAACGATGCCTCTTACAGCTGGAATAACACCTCAAAGGCAATATAATGACGACATGACAATGTATGTAAATCAAGAACTGCATGTGGGTTTATTTTACACTTGAGAAAACAGTGGATTTAATTGTGTGAACCAAAATGTACTGTACAATATTAATGATAAAACATCAAAATGTATAATTCATAGTGCATTGCTTGCTTTATTTTTATTTATTTATTTTTTTTGTCAGATAGTTCCTTTACGTACATGCATCTGGAAAGATGCAGGTGCCAGTAAAATTCCTCTATTTATATCAAGCTGCAGGAACTAAATTTTATTCAAAAAGTGTGGTTTTACATTATATACACAGAAATTGAATATAAAATGACAATATAAAAAGTTAAAAGAGAAAGCATACAGCCAGAAGGTACAAAGAAAGTTGAACAGTTTAAAATGGTACGATATGTAACATGTATTTTTTTTAAGCTGATGCTGGCAATTTACAAGGAACAGAATCCAACATTTGCCCCATTTTTTTTGTTTTCATTTACCAATGCAGCACACTATAGAAAGGTCAGCTTGTACCAAAGCTTAACATTTGTAAATAACTATAAACTGCAGTATTTTACAGGAAAAAAAAAAAAAAAAAGGAAAGAAAAGAGCATTTTTACATTTGTTTTAAATAACAGCTTGCATACTTTTTTTTTTTTTTTGCCAAAAAGTGGCAATTCTCAGCATCCAGAGGGTTTGGGCATAGTGGCAACTTGGTTTGCTTTTTTTTAATTATTATTTAACTTATACAGTTGTGGCTTCCTAACCCCTTGAGTACTACACAGCTCTCCTTCTTCCAAGGACTGCATGCACAATATCTTCACAAACCAGTTCTGCATTAAAAAAAAAAAAAAAAGAAGCTCATTCATTTAAAAAAAAAAAAAAAAAGTCCTGCTTCCGACACAGCTTTTATTTGAATGAAATGCCTTTAAGTCTTTTGGTTTGGTTTGGTTTGTTTTTCCTTATTTACTTATTTTGTCACTGGGAAAGGCACAGAAATGCTATTACAGTTCTCAGAGGGTTAAAACTTGACACTACCAGGTTCTGTGACCTTTATTGTCATGGCAACTTTGTAATTTTAGGATGTCTCTTTATCATTGTTCTTTGTGTCTTTCTTTACGGCTAAATTAATGTCTCTCAATAGTGTCTCCCACTATATTCTACAAAAGATAGCTTAACATCAAGGACAGATGTAGAAAATAAAGGTCAGACTTTGACTCACAAAAAATAAAAACAGAAACAAAAAATAACCATGCACAGACAAAGAGCATATAAATATAACTACAAAATAAGTGTAAGAAAACCCAAGGTCCAGATAGGCAGTTCAGCAACAAAAGTAAGACTGATTTCAGAGGCTCAGGTCAGGCCTAGTGCAGTACTATGAAGAAGTTTAGTGCAATGTTCCTGTGGTCACTTGCATACCTGGCTGCTTACCTGGACGCTATTGTTTTTCTAACTCAGTTACATAGATCAGATGGTCCTCTGGGGACTTGCCATGTGTTTTACTAAGGTGCAGTTTGACTGCATGCTTGCTTGCAAAAGTTCGGTTACAGAGCTTACATTGGAATGTGGAGCCTAAGTCCTCCTCGGCAATTCCAAGTGAGCCCAAAGTCTTGTTTGCGAGGACTTTTGAAACATTCTGCTGTTCTTGAATCTGATTAAGTGGCAACTTTGACAGATCCTTCAAACTAAACCCTAGATGTGTCTCTAAGTGACTTACATATGTAGAAGCAGTCCTGAACTGAGAGGCACAATCATTGCAAAAGAAAACAGGGTGTCCTGTGTCCAAGTTCTTTAAAAATTTAGTTCCACCTGTCCTCCTTAACTGATACTTCACATTGGCCAGCCAGTGGCTAATTGTGGTCATGGAAAGACCAGTAAACTTAGAGATGTGTACCCGCTCTTGTGGACCTAGGTCCGACATAATGTATTTGCCTTCTGGGGTCTCCCTCAAGCTGGAAGCAAATTGGGCTTGAAGGATCAGAAGATGCTGAGGGTTCCAGTTGGACTGCCTGCCCTTCCTCTTGTGTACTGGTGACAGTTCATCCAGAGCTTCCTCAAAACTGCTCCCGTCAGCATCAGACTTCTCTGACACGGTAGATGGAGTTGAAGACTTGGGTGTCAAACGCCCCGTGAGGTTCTTCACCATATCGGAAATATCCAGCAGGGCACTCTCCCTAAGCGGGGATGAAGCAGAGTCAGCCACACTGGAAACAAGAGGCTTGTTTTTGGACTTGGTTAAATCAATAGGTTGATCACTGTTCTCATAGTAATACCGGTCAATAGCATCAGCCTGTTTGACTGGTGTGGTCGGGTAAATGGGTTTGTCCAACATGCTGTTGCTAATTTTGTACAGCATGGCCAAAGGGTCCAGAGAGGGGCTTACTGGCTTAGAAATTTTGCCTAAGTGGGTATTCATAATGGACTGTAAAGCACTCAATGGATTAATGAAGGATGGCTCAGGTGAATGATCTGTGATAATTCCTAAATTGTTACAGCCATTTGCAACCTTTGTTTTAAGTGGCTCTGTACCGTTTGGCGTATGTGCTTCTGATGGACTATCCTTTTTGACCTTTTGAACTTCTGACTCAGAGCTCTTCTTCAGCTGCTGTTTGTTATTTATTTCTTCTGCTTTTGGGAAGTCCTTGTTTTCTTTAGCAGCAGGTGACATAGGTTTGACTGGAGAACTCTTCTCTTTCTCCAAAGGCTTTTCTTCCTTCTTCACATTGATTTTACCTGTAACTTTCTCCACTAGTTCTTCCATAGCAGATACATTGCTCTTGTGAGGTGGGGGTGTGAGATTGCCCGGGGAATGGATGAGTGCGTTGTGTTCTGATGACAGTGATTTTACACTGCTTGCGTAAGATGGCTGCATTTGAACACTCTGCACTGCTGGCTGAAGGGGCTTGACTGTTCCCGGGAGCTGGTAAGCTGCATGAATACTGGGATACCCTCCCCAGGAAGGGGCTCCATTCTGAGCTTTGCTTATAGCTGTTGTCACTGTGTTCTCCAGGGATTTCAGTATGTCTATTCCGCCTTTGGGACTATCATCTAGGTCCTCCTCTCTGAGGTATTGGTACAAAGTTGTTGGCTCAAATTTCTCTGTAGAGTCCTCATTCTCTTCTTTAATCTTTTTTTCTGTTTCAGTGACCACCACCTTTTCCTTCTCTAGGTCTTTCTTTTCCTCCGAGTTTGTGGAGCCCGCTGGGGAATCAGGCTGCTTTTTAATGTTGGAGGCTGGGAGCCTTGTGTGGGTAGTGGGTGGAAGAGGTATAGACTGTATCTTCTCCTCCACCACAGGGTCCAACACTAGCTGTTTGCCTTTTTTGGAAGCAGAATTGGTCACCTTCAGGAAATGACCAGTGACCATCATGTGAGCAGTGAGCTGCTGCAAAGTGTCATGGGAACTGCCGCATTCCATGCATTTCAGTATTTGGGCTTTGCGTGCCTCGAACTGCCAAGTGTAGCTAGCACCATTTTGATAGCCATAGCGGTTGTTTGGAGTCACGTAGGGATTGGCAGTTTTCTGATCCTTTGCAGACTCACCCAGTGAAGCTTCTGCAGTGATCCCTGTTGGCTCAGGTGAACAGGGTGAAGCTAAGTCCTGAAGTGCTCGCTTTTTGGTAGAAGGGACCAATTTCGTGATGGCTGGTACTGGCTCCTTCAGAGGCACTTTCTGGTAATGCTTTGTTTTTATCATATGGACACTGAGGTCTTGCAAAGACTCAAACGAATGCCCACAGTACATGCACTTCAGCACTTTCTGGGCATCCTCTTTGCCTTCCATTTCCATAAGTGATCGTTTTCTAGGCTTTGACCACCGTTTAGTCTTATCAGCTTCTTTATCTCTGTTGTCATCACGGTAATGTCCAGTTTCATTCATGTGCACTGTTAGCTCCACCAGTGTGTCATAGGCTGCACTGCAGTCTTTGCATCGGAACTTGCTAGCACCGGTGAACACAGACCCATAAAGTTTATTGTTTTGCCGGTAAAGCTGTACTGTGCTGAAAAGACTAGGCTCTGGGAGAAGTCCATATGATGAGGTCTGCTGCAAAGTTTTAGCTAATGCAGCTTGGTGCCAGTCATATCCTGAGCCACCACTGTTATTATTACTGTTACTAGTATTACTGGTGGTTGTACTGGTGCTAGTGTTGGTACTGGTAGTACTAGTATTCTGGGAATTGGCATTGGTGTCGGTATTGGTGGTGTTTTCATTCTGGCTGATTCCATTGTTGCTGGTGGTTGGATTGGATTTCTTTAAGTCCAAAGCTAAACTGGACCAGCAAGTCTCTGAAAGTAAATTTGCATACACAGCTTTTATTTGTGCCAAGCTGTCCTGTGGATAGGAAACATTGTCTGTGCACTGAGGATCCTCTTTCTCTTCTTTAGAGGAAGTGCTTTTGAAATGGGCCAGCTGATCGCTGTTTTCACTAAACGGCGAACCATAGCCTGCATCCTGATTAGTTGCAGTGCTGACTGGGGAGTTCTGGTAGCTTTGAGCCTCTTTGATCTCCGCTTCTTCATTGCACAAATACTCATTCTCCTGGATGTCCAGAGACAGCCCATCATCTTCCACGCTGTCTTCATCTATTTCTGCTGCTTTCAATTCCTCCTCAGGAACATATGCTAAAATACAGGAGAGGAGATAGGGGGTGGGGGGGGGAAAAGACAAAGTTATCAAACACGCACATTTTACATTGCTGTCTTCTGTACTAAAAGCAGTAAGCATGAAGACAAATTTTGAAGATATATCCAGAAACCAAACTCACCATCACTCACACCCTCCTCCTTTAAATCCACATACTTTGTCATGGTTACAGTTTGATATCAGTGATACCAAAGAATAAACTTTGACTTCAGGGGTAAAATATGTGCCAGGACCAGAGCAGATACCATAATATCAAAACCAAAATCAAACAAAGAGCCTACTAAACTAGTTTTTATCAACTTAAAAAATGACCTGGTACTGAGCTATATCTACTGCACTACGTATGTATGTGTAATATGTTGCAGCTGACCTACACCCCTCAGACCAAGGCACTCAGAATCACTGGCTTGACCAACTCCATCTTGTCAGTTCTGTCTTTTCTTGCAAACTGGCTTTAGCTACAGCTTCAGGGGCCATTTCTGTGCCACTGACACCTGACTCTAATGAAGTTATACAGGGCAAATGTGTCAGGTCAGCTGCCTGTACTAGGTCCATCTGAGACCAGTAGTAAATGTTAGAGATTAATTTTTGGAAGCAACAAACAAAAACCTTGATTCCTTGATCGCAGCTTGATTGCTGGCATATGGAAAATATAAAACTTTGCTATTGCATTCCTACCCATGAAACTATATGATCTCACCAAACTATGTGTTTATCTATATCAAACTATTTGTTAAACTAGCAAATGTGATATTCATGAGCAGATGGCCATTGCATCGAAACACATTTACTCCAAGGGCCCAGTTCACAGAAGTGGCTTACATGTACCTAAGTGATAAATGTATATTTCCATTGCAAAGCAGAAAACATAGTTGTACACATTTCTCTCCAGTTTTGAAAAAGAAGCTTAAAGAAATCACAATACTAATGGAATGTAGATCATTTGTAAGAATGTCAAGGTAGAAAACATGGATTGTGAACAATTCTCAGTAATTGAATAAAAAAGTGCCGCCTTGTCAGGTGAACTCTGCAGCAAGTGATGCTGAAACGTGTCCTGTGTCCTTCCACTGTACAATACTGAAAGAAAGCCAGAAAAGAGGCTCTTCTGCTCTTATGTGATACGAAGAAAATATGTATTATCATGTTAACAAAGCTGAGGTCTTCTTCAATTGGGGGGAGCATAAGTACAAGTTGAACTGCTTTTTGTACACAGTTGCTAATATATTCTGAAATGTCTTTTCTGAAAAATAAAAAGAATCTTCTTCCACTGTAATACGAATCATCCTTTTTTTTTTTTAAGAAAATTAACAATATTACAGTAAGTACTGCATTATGTATTCACCTTTGTAATTCAGTCCTAAATGCAGCCCCTAACTACTTCAGCCTGATCTTTTAATATGAAGCAGGAAAGTAGTCCATCTAATACTGGGCTTGTGCTGAACCTTAAGATGCCTTCTGCATGTTTCATCTGTCCTCTACGTGTCAAATTTTTATAAGATAATTTGATCTTTTAGTTTTTAAAAAAGTGCTAAGCAGGGCCCAATTCCTTACAGATACATCAGCCTCAGGTGCTTTTAACATGCTTTAAAGGATAGGTGAGTACGAAGCACAATAAAAGTCCCCACAGAAATAATCCTGGAGCCAAAGGCCAGAAAGATGCCAGAAAAATATTATAAAACCAGAAAAAAATATTCTCAAACAGGTGTTTAGTTAAAAAATGAAGAATAAAATACAGAAACAGTCAAAGAATTAAGGCGGCAGTCAGCTTCCCTGTCTCGCAGCAATGCTGCTGTTAAAGCACTCTGCAGATATTTGAGCATGGTAGTGCCGCCGCAGTTTGAACTCTAGGTATGTAAGCAGAATTCACTCCCACAGCTACAGTCTAGGATCTCTTAGCCTTCTCATTCAACACGCCTGTTTGTGGTCATTTCTAAAGGTAAAAGACAATACATTTTGAAGTTTCAGATAAGTAAAGAACAGGTAAAGAGGAACATGGTTTCTGATTTTGAAATTACTTTGAAATAGGAAAAAAACCCTCTGAGACCTAAAATGCATAACAACGGGCAGTTACCATCTGGTATTTTTACTTAAAAAAACAAAACAAAACCAAAAAACCCAAACAAAAACAAACAAAACACCAAAAACCAACCAAACAAAAGCCCACACACAAAAATACAACAAAAAAAACCAACAAAAACAAACAAACAAAAACAAAACAAAAACACACACAAAAAAAAAACACACACACACAAAAAACCCCACCCAAACCCAATGGAATAATGATCAGCAGAGTCACCAAGTACAAGCCTAAAACTGAGGGGACATGCATTCTGGGCTTTTATGAACAGCTATCCTCTCACTAACTTCAGTGCAACCACGCCAATTTTCTCTAATTTTCACAACCCAATACTTTTAATAACTAGATATAAAAACTGTTGTAAGATGCTGCATGTTTCTAGAGTTGATACAGCATTTTGTAAGAATCCATGTGAATTAACTGCTTACATCTCTTTACTTAATCCTAAATTGCATAAACATATATTTTTATAATTGCTATATATAACCATTTAAATATCTGCTTAAGTAGAAACTCTACACGATCCACTGCCGTATCTTTTATTTTCCTTTATTTATTTATGATGGCGTGTTTTCTCTAGTCTCATATTTTTGCACTTTACCATAAAAAAATAAAAAGGAGCTAAACTACACAAAAAACCATCAAAACCACATGTAATGTCTGTGTTAAAATGTCAAAGAAAAGAAACTGTTAGGGTGAAATATCCATCTTTACTTACTTTTCCTGCTCTTCGGTTTTGCTGAGACTACTAAACAACTGAGCTCACTCCCTTACCAACATATTCTGCAATATAAGAGCTAAGAATGTACAATTGGTCAGAACTATGATTTTCTACGATTTCAGAATTTAAGCCAGTTTCTAATAAAAACCTGAATTTGTATGATGTGCACACCCACATGTCTGTACAGTTCTCTGAAATCACACAAAGAAATAATGTTTTTTAGCAAAAAAGAGAGTAATTTATCTGTAATGTTTAATTTCTATCACTGCAACCAAAAAGACTTTAACTCCTTTAGTTATCATAGAATACAAACAATACCTGTTCATTTAAGACTACTAATGCTTATGAGATGAACAGCAGCACACTCAACATATGGTATTTTGCAAGGTCAGTGCAATTCTCTATCTGAAAAGCTTTCTGTAAGAGCTAACACAGAAGCAAACAAAATGAAGAATGTTAATTTCTAAAAACATGTGTGTTTTACTAAAATTCTCATAGAAATTTGACAAATAAGTAAACTTCAGAATTTTAAATAGAGTAAAAGTATTCTTATTATAATTACTTGCAGGGACAAGTAATATTATTCTATCTTAAAAGCATGAGACATTCCGATTCTCCCTCTAAACTATAATAGGTAGATCAACAGACAGATTTCAGACAGCATATCTTTCTATGACTGAGCAACTCTCAGCAATCTTCTCCAGATATTCCTGCATCTGCAAAGACTCTGCTGTCTTACACATGTCCCAAAACCACACAAAAATATCAAGAGCAGATATAAGCAGTAATCCTCCTCAACAAAAACTATATCCAAAGCAGCAGAAATTACAGAACACAGCATCAGCTTTTTTCTTCCTTCTCTGTGCATGGACAGACTGAGGCAAATGCAAGGTGGAAAAGGAGGAAAAAGCTTCAAATTCCAGACAACTAAAAATTAGGGGAAGCAGTTTGTATTTCTTTTCTTCTTATTAAGTCTTGCTATTATTTTTTGCCTATTAAATGTGCCTTCTGGATGCCAATGCTTCCCCATAGATATACTGTCATCTTTGAGCAGTGTTAAAAGCTGTGCATTCTAATCTAAGTGGACATGAGATGCTATATATTGTACATGTGAGTAGCACAGCACATTGTGTTTGCTTCAGTGAGAATATTTACACTATAAATACACATCCATTGTTTGAAAAAGCAGACAGAGATCTGAAATGCAAGGATGTGGTTAAAAATATAAATATTCTCACATAAAACCTTTCCACAACCTTGGACCAGTGCTTTTGAAGGAATCTATCTCTACAGAGGTATTGTTTTCCATTCAAAAAGGGATTCAGCATTGAATACATTATTTTGAAAGAGACCAAAAGTAATAACTGTATTTTAACAGTCTATAAAATTAAATGTGGTAAGCTCTTCAAGACCCAATTTTAAATCCTCCAAATACACAAATTTATTCAGAAGAAACACCTTTGTATTGAAGGCCACAGTTCACTAAAGGAATTAAATACTGAAATAATTTTCACTGAAATAAACATTTCATATTTTCAACAAATAGGGATAGGTTTACGTTTGCAATTCTTCACTAAATCAGGGCCTTCTCTGAGACTAAACAATAGTGGCACAATGTGAGTGTTCACCATTCTTCAACAGATGTATTTCCACAGCTTCTAATATTTACCCAGCCAACAGAAGACAGCAGCTGCAGAAGTTTTCACAGCCCACACTGTCACCTTGCACAAACTGCAATCCAGGCTGGGGGTGATTTCCACTGCACACAAGAACACATTTCATATCTTGGGGGGGAAAAAGTATGGAAAGAAAGACAATCTATAGCCACACATCTCTCTTATCACAGAAAAACAAGAGGGAGATGAAAAAAAATTTAACAGACACATTTCCAGAATACAGAGTCACGAGAGTTTTACAAAAGAATCCAAAATCTCACATTGTGAGAGGTTAACATGCCTGCTGGAAGATTTGGGAATTTTCTGTATTAGTATATACAAATGTTCATACAAAATTCTGGCACAGATGCTACAAATCTGTGTGTGTGTGTCTGTGTCTGTATTACGATGTCACTACAGTGGAAAAATATGGCTTAGTTATGACAATGGCTGAGAAGCAGCACAGACTATCAGACAACCAGATAACCTTACTACAGAGGTGTGTGTCTTTCATTTCTAATTGAAGCAAAATGGGGGGCAAAATACTAGAACTGCCTACCCTCTAATTCTAATGCAAGGGGGTCTGAAAAGTAGATAAGGTGCTGTAACAAGAACAACCTCTGTGCTT